ACAAGGGTCAGGTTAAATTTCTTTACTATATATGCTCCAAGCTTTCAGATTTACAATCCATCATCAGCATATAAAATGGTTATACATTTACAAAATGTCAAGTCTGAAACTAAAACAAACATTTCGCGCACTTATATCGCGCGCTATCTACATGGCACGCTCTGTAACCTATATAATATTTTAAAAGATCAGTCTGAATGCGTTTTTGTTTTTGTAACGTCTTTGTGTTCCCTGAAGATGACCGCTTAGGTCGAAAGCTTGGAATAAAGTTTTTAAAATTAGTCATGGTTGATTCAGCAAACTACGTATAACTATATAATATTATTTCCATGCAAATAAATTACATGAAATCGAAAGAAACGATATATACTAGAATGAACGCACTTAATCCGTGCAACTGTACAAACTAAATAGTGATGGTTAGGTGTATTTAGTGAATCGTGCATGCGATACGCAAATTAAATTGAATTGATGCAAACGAAGCATTCAATACCGTCTTGCTTCAKGTCCACTTTTAGTACAAATTAGTACTACTTAGATTTTGTATAGTTGCACGGATTACGTGCGTTCACTCTACATCACTTGACTAGTGTTAAATAGCTATCATCTTTCTACCACAGTCTCTATTGGTTAAAAACGCGTTCTTTTTCTGTGATTATCCATGTCTCGACAGTCTTATTTTCAACTTGTGGTTGTAAATAAGCGGCAATAAAGACTAATAAATTTCCGTGATCTCTTAGCGATATCTGATAGATCATGCGGGATGTTTGAGAGATCACGAAAAGAAGCGTAGAAAATCTCGAGACAAAGGCAAAAAAGAGAATGAGCTTGAAGAGTTGAAACAACTATATTGCGTATTAATAAGGGTTAATCAGTCTTATGAATATTGAATTAATATAACTGTAAACTAAAGTCCCTCCTCTCGCTAAATGAACACAGATAAAAGATTTCCAGACTTAAAGGGACACTGTCAGTGGCACGCATGCGCGAGTAAACTTGAAAACATTAGGCTAGTGTTTTCAAGTTTATGACTCCAA